TATTGTTCTCCTCTTCAGCTTTTGTGGGAAACTAGTTTTCAATGTTTGCTCATATTTTTCTCAAACGGTAGTTTTATTCCCTCAAGCATAGGTGAGGCATAGATCAATGGTATTCAGTACTCCAATTTTAAATATGGTTAAATATAAATCATCATTGTTTATGCTGATAAATACTGTAGCTCACCATAGTAAGCAGAACCACTTTGGTGTTGACATCATCAGCATATCTTGTTTAGTTTAAGCATTAGCCCAGAGAGCAGGATAGAAAGCAAGTTAATTCTTTTCTTACAGAAGTTGCATTCTGACAGATGGAATTACTTGCAGCTTTGAAAACAAGTTTCTATTTTCATCCTTTGCAAAGGTAACCTCATAAAACTATTGAGGAATGCATTGAGATATTCTGAATAACTATTTCAAGATATTCTCATGTTCACATATACAAAGGAGTAATTAGGAGTTTTTCTTATGACAGTGACAAGGGTCACTGAGGTACAATAAGAAAATCACGTATTCTCCTTTATCTCACAGAACATTCAGAAAAGGAGAAAAAAAGGCTTCATGACACGATCATATTAAAAATTTATAATTTATATGAACAATTCTATACTCAAATGGTCATGAAGCCATTGTAGTGTTTTATGGAATATTTGAATTGGTGATTCTTTTTCTTGGGCATCATCATTTTATTCACAATTAAATTAAGACTATGGATTATAGAACCCCCATTATCAGTACATCTTGGTACTTGCAAAGGTATGAACTCCAGGGGCATAGAGATTTGGCTAGATTTTTACATACTTTAGAATGATTTGAGTCAAATATTTATCAAGGAGAAATTGAGAGGAATTGTTAAGTGGCTCCATATCATCAACTTGTACAAAGGTAAATTTTAATTTTAACCATTTTTCTACAACAGTAATTTATAAGTATATAATACAATACTCTAACTGACATGACATTTTTCATTACCATTAAAAGTTGGTACATTCACAATCGTTATAGTTAACTAACTAAAAAGCAAGATAGCAAGTATGTTCAAGGAACTCTACATCATTGGAGGTACAAGGGATTCTGTATCGAGGCAACAGAAACACTAAATTTTAACATCAACCTATCAAATATATTACCTATACATCAAATTACAAGAATTTTACTAATGTGAAATGTTAAATAGAACATAAACCTCTTCTAAATACTTTTACATCATGAACACTTCAACTAATACACTAATTTTAATGCACATACATAATAGAGTAAATCCTATTCACATTTTCAAGGTAAGATGACACACAATTGTATTTGAATCAAAAGCCAGGGAACATAGCCTTTATGTCATAATTATGAGGGTCGTTTATACTCCCTTTTCATCCCAAGAAATAATTATTTTTAAAAACTCTGTTAGTAATGTTAGTAAGGCATAAACAGCTTAAGGGTTATAGTGCAAAATTTTAATGTGTCATTCTTTTCTAAATAAAATATAAAGTACCCTCAATTCGAGAGATTTACTCATTTGTATAGGAAATACTGTGAAAATGAATTAATTTTAAGTGGCAAATTACTCAAAAGAATTAAATATACTCAGTAATTTAATGCCAGAGAAATAAAATAGATCTATTTAGATGAGGCTCTAGTACTTTAGGCAGTTTCAAAATTAAAATATAATCTTTTAAAAAATATCTTACCTAAATCCTTGTTTCTACCCTAATATGACTGAAGTTCTATTTCATAATACAAGAAATATCAATATTTTTTTCAAAATATCAGGGAGTATAAAGAACTTTACATTCTCCTTTTGATAGATATAAATAGAAAAAAATGTTTTCTCTTTCAGTATTTATTTTAAAAAGAGAAATATGATTACAACAAAAATAATTTTTAATGATGAAAGTAGTGGAACAAGATGATTACAGTCACCATAAACACCCAATAAGTTTATTTTATATCATCCAACTTTTAAACAGTGTGATAACTAATTACAGTGATTTCTCAGCAACACTATAATAGTTAACATTTTCATAAAAATTAAATTTAAGTTTTTTGGCTTGCATTCATCTTATTTTTTTGGACTTAAATAATATCTTGCCCTGGATACCTTTCAGAAGGGTAGCTTGGATAGTTCAGCTTCACTTCCAAACCCCCGGAGATGATGTTTAACTCTTCAGCAATCAGACAGGGCATGTAACTCCATGTTTCATGTTTGATGTATTAACTATCATTGTGTACACCAGGACAGTATTATACTACATTACAGTTGTTGCCATTCAGAGCAAGCACACAGAGAAACAGCATGATAAAATTGTTATTTCACTGTACTGTTTCTTCCACAGATTTTAAATTGTGATTGCCAGATATCAGCTAACATAAGCATAAGATTCAATGGGAAATCCATTTTAAAGTGGTCTTGTTTTGCTTGCTTTTATAATGGGAAATTCAGATCACAAAATCTTAGCCAAATTTTATAATCACAAATCATTGGAATTTTGGGGGGAGGGAAATGAAATTATGTTGTTCCTAGAAAGTTATATCTCACTGCAGATTTCAATAGTTGATGTCCTGGAATCAGTCTAGGACAAGAAAAATAACATGTTATCAAAATCAATGATTGTGTTCTAGGAGTCTCAGTTGCCAAGCATGTTATATGGCTAAAATTCACATTACAAAAAAAATAGATGCATAGAATTAATGTTACTAAATTTAACTATGGTGAATGCCAATCCTATTCCAAGCTAAGTCAGCCTGCTGTTACTATTTTGGTTCCAGATATAACACGTATAGCATGGTTACATCCATGAGTTACCTTATAAATATCTCAACCTTCTACTATTTTTTATATTTCTGCAATTACAAAACTATTCCAACTCCATTGATAGAAATTTATTATGATTTTGTTTTTAATGAAGTACCTCAAATATATGTCTAACACAATGAGTAGTACATAAAAGGCTCTCCAAAACTGGTATTTTAAACAAATGGTACTTTCAATTTTATTCTTGTCTCCATTATTCAAGTGTATAATATTCACAATATTTTAATAGGACTGCTATCATAAACAAGACTTGGTTTGGGCAGTATATATCTTTTATGATTATCAAAATTTATTCTAAAATAGTTATTTATATTTACAGTATTTCTAGGGTCATACCAACAAAATGCTATCTACTTGCTCTGAAACACTGAAGGTATTCATAGAAGGTAATTTATAGATTCATCCTCTTAAATCTTATATTTTTCATTTCTACAGTATGTACAAAAATGCCTTCCAGAATAAGCATAGAAACGCATACCTAAAAAGAGCATCATATTCTCCAAGTATAGATGGTTTTATGCAGTAGATGCATTGCTAACATGAAAGTATCCCATAAATGTACCCTCCTCTTTTTTTTCCCCAAAACTCTAGTCAGGAAAATAAAATCTACACAAAACATTCTCCCTTTCTAACCATGAAATTTCTGATAAATGTCCTTATATTTTGCAGCCACTTAAAATCAATTTATAGCTCTACTTTTATATTTCTATTCAGATGGGTAATGAACTAACTGTAAATATCTCTCTAAACCATCTTTTTAAAACCACATTCCTCACTTTGTATAAAATTGATTGGAATATTTCTGCCTCTGGTAATAGTAATATTTCTCACACGGTCAGAATTCCCTTAAGGAACAATGAATTTATATTGTATTGGCTGATGTTTTCTCCCATTTTGTGTGATGTTTCTTTAAAAAGAAGACACCTACTGTATTTGAATTTTTAAATACATAGTTTCTTTTTTAGTGCTCACTTATCTTTTTAGCATTCTGCAAAGTCAGTGAATATAAGATGCTTCTTCTGGAATTAATCACAAGTGGAAAAGTATATAGAAAAGGTGAAGAACATTGCAAATGTAGCACAAAATATAATGATTCAAATTATTTTTAGTATCATATTAGTCTGCTTAAGTTCACCAATTCATTTTCGGAAGATACTTAGTAGTGAATATGAAACAACTGTGAACCAATGACATAAATCTACTATTTAGCTGTTTTTTAAGAAATGAATAATTTGAGTAAGTCATCTCAGAACTCATAGAATTTAAGATAATAGTTTTAGCTAATAAAAACTAATAAAAACAATTATTACCATTTAGTTTTTGTATTTTGCCTGATTCATGAGACTTTTCATCTTGCATTTAGGACAAAATCTCTTAGCTGAATAATATGAAATGTTATCTTGAAAAGTTATCAATTTTATAGAATTTTAAAGAAATTATAGAATATGAAAAAAACTGAAAGAGGGAAATAATTATCAAATACTTCAATTTTTCATCACCCATGCTTTGCTTATTCATACTGCACTAAAAACATGTCTAGCTCATAAAACTTCTCCACGCTTTCAAAAACAATTGAAACCAGAATTTGCTCTTTTAACTAGATTCATGAACCAATCTATGAAAAATTATGATCTGAAAATGTAATTCACAAGCCCCATACTTTGTATACTATTTTTTAAACTAATCACAAATTTATTCCAGGAAAAAGTGGTATTAAATACACGACACACATAAAGTGTTCATCTTAATGGATACTCTTCTGTTGAGAAAGCTGTCAGATATGTAGAATAATAAGGATAAGAATTATATTATTAGAGTGCTGTTTTGAATGGTTAAATAAAAACAAACATACACCCTGAGGAGATGTTAGGCATCTATTATTTTTGTCACTTATCTACGCTCCAGCTAGGCTGGGAAGCATAGGGTTCATACAAATTTTAGAGATAACTAATGCCCTGTAAACTCACTCAAAGCATAACAGAAATGCTCCACACAAACACAAGAGTTCTATTTTGTCATTTTCAACAGCATAACGGTGGAACTATAATAAAAATTCACTCACAACTGAATTAGGACCTTGCCTGTATTACATGCTTAACAACAACAACAAAAAGTTAAATATCATTGTATAATTTAACTATTCATATCTTTGAATGACCTTAGCTCTTAAAGCCATTTCCCAACCTAACATAAATTATTTTCATCATTGTCTTGAACTCTGATAGACTTCAATACTATAACATGTGGTGAGAGAAAACCTATTCTGATTTTCATTGTTGCCATTGTGTTAAACCTGAATAAGTTCTCAAAAGCCTTTATTCACTGAAAGTGAGATTAAGACAAATACAAAAAAACAATGAAGTCAATATGTGGCATGATTTCAAGAAAAATGTGGAAAGATTCCATCATTTGACTTTATTAAGGAAACAATCCAACTAAAATAATGTATTTTTAATTTATAGATCTTGTTTTTTTTTTTTTTTTTTTCATTTTCCTCATGAAATACAGATAAAAAAAGCACAATGCAAGTTCTTGCTTTCATAAATTTTATTGGGTTTTAAATTATGCTGCATGGACTTTTCTATCTTAATTTGCCATATTTTTGTTTATGCCCATTATAGAAAGGAAACGTATTTCATTTTTCAAGTTATCGTTTCTGAAGAATGTCCATGGAAAGGCTCTAAGTAACTTGCATAGATATTCAAATATTTAAATCACTCGCTGCTGTCGAGATGGCTCCGACTCATAGTGACCCCTCCTTGGGTTTCCAAGGCGGTATCACTACAGAAGTAGATTGTCCAATCTTCCTTCCGAGGAGTGGCTGGTGGATTTGAACCACAAGCCTTCTGGTTAGCAATCCAATGCCTTAGGCACTATGCCACCAGAGCTCCCAATATTTAAATATTTAAAATAGGGGTCTTGTATATATTTCAATTTCTGGCTTGAAGATGAGATTGAGAAACATGTATCCTCATTTTTCTAATTCCATTCTTGTCATATTGTGTGATCTATGATAGATTTTATGAACAAGAATAAGGGTGAATTCCTAACCTGACAATGATGCTATTTTTCTTTGTGTGGCCATGGCGAGGATGAGGTGGAAGAAGATCACTTGGTGCTATTTAGACACCTTGAGTAGACAGATTTTCCCATGTGAATCTGACATTCTCAACATCATTAGTATTAAGAGGTACTCATAGGATTCTGAAAAGATTTACTGAGATATATGCAGCCCAGGCTGTTCAGAAACTTATGCACACAATGGTATTGACTAAGGACAGTGCTATAACTCTTCCTTGATTTAGAGTTTTTCTGGTATATCCTCTAGGAAGTGTCATACTGCCATCTACAGACAAAATTGCCCCTATTATCATCATCATTCTACACGTAATTTGCCTAAATCACCAGACATTTTATTCTGATTTTCTACCAAACTTAACCCACAGAGCAATTTGGAGAATTCTGCAAAATAAGTATTTTTCCTCTCATTGAACTCAATAGTTCTGTAAAGCTCTATTTCATATGAAAATAATATAAAATGAAGTTAGAAACTTGGATTACCTACCGGCCTGGAGTGAATAGACACAGGGGCCTTAAAAGTTGTCACTGGATAGCTGCACTCAGAAACGCTGTAGGGATCAGAACTGCTGGAGGAACACTTGGAGATGGAATCGCAGGCCACAAAGGTGTTATCAAGAGGCAGTTCCTGGATGATGTGGTGCTTTGAGTTCAGTGGAGTTTCAGGCTGGATCTGGAAGGCAGGCTGTGGAGAGGCAGATTTGTAATGACGGGCCAAATCAGGGCTATCAGGCTTAAAAGTAGTAGGGGTAGTGCCCCAGTTGTAGGTGCCCATGGCTTGCTCTTCCAGCTCAATGGGAAGATCTAGTGTGACACTATTTCCATCAGTGTCAGCATCATCTGTTTTAGTTTCTTCAATAGTGACAAAGTTAAGCAGCAAGTTCTTAGGGGCATGCTTCTTTTTCTTCTTCTTCTTTTTCTTCATCATCATCATCTGCCTATTTTCTGGGTTTGGAGTAACCCACTCTGAATTCTGCTTGTTTTTCTGGGCAGCCTTAAGTTGTGGGGACTGTCGGCATCTTACTACAGCAGTGATGAAAATTACTAAGATGACAGTTATGGTGCCAGCAACGATAGCAACCATGATCTTGACATAGTCACTGGTTGGTGATGACGCATCAGTTGTCTCAATATTCTGGGTCACAGGTTTTTCAATGCTCTTGCGCACCAGTTCATCAATCAGTGAAGCATTGGTCACTGACTCATTTACAAATAGATTAACAATTATAATACTGAAGAGAGAATCAGGTTGTCCTAAGTCCTTAGCTTTGACTATTAGTCTGTGTAAACCAAGATCTGCAACTACAAATTTTTCCTTTAGTGTAATGTTGCCTGTTATTTGGTCAATTATAAACAGACCTTTTGCATTTCCTCCTACAATGCTGTAACGAAGTTCTGCATTCATGCCCGCGTCACTGTCGATGGCAACTACCTTGAAGACCACTGTTCCTGGAATAGTGGATGGTAGAACCAATTCAAAGGAGTAGTTGGTAGAAGGGACAACAAAAACTGGTTTGTTATCATTAACATCGACCACATTTATGGTCACTTTAGCAGTTGAAGAACGTGATGTCTTACCGCCATCCTCAGCCTTTACATAGAAAGTGTAAGATTCTTGTTTTTCTCTATCAAATGAAATATTTGGTCGGATGACACCAGTCTGTGGATCAATGGTGAAATCATCATTCATATCTAAAATGGAGAGAGTAACTGCAGAATTTTCTCCATAATCAGGATCAGTTACAGTGATTAGTCCTACTGTGCCATGTCTTGGAAGGTTTTCAGGGACATAGAAATTATATTCATTGTGAGTGAAAACTGGGCTGTTGTCATTCTGATCAAGAACAGTCACTAAGACGGTGGCATTGGTCACCAAGGGTGGCATCCCATTATCTTTTGCAAAAACTGTGAAAGAATATTTTTCCTGTTTTTCTCTATCTAGTTTCTTCACTGCAGTCAGAACGCCTGTACGATGATCCAGGTTGAATTCAGATGGCGCATCAGCACCTAGCAGGTAATTGATCTCAGCATTACGCCCACTGTCTGCATCTGTTGCACTGATTTTTGTCAGTTGGATGCCTGGAGAGTTATTCTCAGGGAGAGAAAGACTTATGAAAGGCTGGGTGAAAACTGGAGCATTGTCATTTTCATCTTTCACTTTGACAAGGAGCATAGATGATTGATTTAAAGGAGGTTTGCCAGCGTCTGCGGCCAGTAGTTTAATGGCATACTCTCTTGTGGACTCATAGTCAAGATATGCAGCAGTCTCCAGGAGGAACTGATTACTGAATACTGGCCTTAATCTGAAAGGGACTTCATGATCTGTGAAGCATGTCACCCTTCCATTGTGGTCAGCATCCTTATCCGTCACAGTTATAAGAGCAATCTTGGTGTTGAGGGGAGCATTTTCTGAAAGAACCACAGTGCCATTGATTGGATTGATGATGTATCTTATATCAATTGATGGTATATTGTCGTTGACATCTGTAACATTTACCAGCACCATTGCTCTTGCTGGCATTGATCCACCATCACTTGCTAAAACAAGTAACTTGTGGTTTGGTGATTCCTCCCTATCCAGTGGTTCTTTGATTGTGATAAGTCCAGTAGTGCTGTTGAGGTGAAATAGTTTCTTGGCGATGTTAGAGACTAGATTGCTGAAATAGAAGTGAATCTTGGCATTTTCACCTATGTCCGCATCTGTGGCATGGAGTTGTGTCACTGATGTACCTACAGGAGCATTTTCTGGTATACTGACTTCAATTTCCTTCTCTTTGAAGACTGGGTGGTTGTCATTTGTATCAGCCACACTTATTTGCAAAATAGCAGTACTGGATCTTTGAGGAAAGCCACCATCTTCAACCTTTACTTTCATCACATATGTATCTTTCTCTTCCCTATCTAACTCCTTTTGAACAATCAGTTGTGGCATCTTGTCTCCTTCTGGTGTTTCAATGACATCAAGCCCAAATATACTTTGACCCTGAAAAAAAAAGGGAATGAAAACATATTTTAACTTATGTAATGATGTAATGAGACCAGTTTTCAATGTCTTTAAGCTCTATGATATAGTAGGATCAGCTCAGAAATAGGTGCCAGAAGACCTGAGTTCCAAGTCTCAGCTCTGCCTATGACGCATATTGTAACCACAGCAAGTTGCATAATTTCTCTAGGCATTTGTAAAACTAGAAGGTTGTGCTAGAAAATGGTCTGTAACATTTCAGGTAGTAGAATGTTGTAGTAATAAATGTAACTCATTTATTTAAACTATTAAACTTTTCCAAAGAAAGGAGTATATAGAATTCAAAAAAACATACCTGTCAGTAAATTTCATGTGATAAATGAAGCTATAATAAGTAAATTATAAAAAGTGAAGTAATCCATGGTTACTCCAAATGAACTAAATTGTTACTGTAGATTTCAGTTGGCTAGGATGCTTTTCACCACCCAAAATAACAATCAACTGCAAAATATACTCCCAATGTATTAACATGTGTATAAAATTTAATACAAATGAAACTTTTGCCAGAAGAAAAAAAAAAGGATATTCTAATAAAATTACAAACTTGCATAAAATACAAATAATTCATTTTTTTTCCTAAAAGAACAGACATTGAAAATGAAATTATCTTGAAGTAATATCAAAAAGTTAATTAACTTTTGAAACTGATGTGCCAAAATGTCAAGTAGGAAAATATAGCTTAAGCATGTATTTCCTCTCATCCCATTAGGTCATGATATGGGAATTTTGAAGAAAAAAAAAATCCAGTCCTCTGAACTCCAGTTAGATGATCTCTACACAGATAAACAATGATCCTGCAAGCTGACTGAGGAATACTGTCGACTGGCTCTCAGGAGGAGTCCTGTACAGTGTTGTGAGATGCATAAAGTCACTGGTGGGCATGAAGAAAAGATCACAAGAAGACCTTAGGATTTTTATGACTATTACATAAGTGATTTATTAATATTTGTGTGTGTTTATTCAATATATTTCTTGACAGAAAAGTTGCTGATGTGGCAAGGATCAGTTACCGATACTGCTTTCATGTGTTCTGTCACACAAGAACAAGATAACATTTGAGTATTTTGTTTATACTTTTGACATAGCGGTGTCTAAAACAAGATTCTCGGAAAGAAGGTTGGGCAATCTACTTCCGTAGTGATACTGCCTCAGAAACCCAAGGAGGGTTCACTATGAGTCGAGTCCAACTTGACAGCACATAACAACAACAACAAAACAAGATTCTAAAATTTACACACTAATAATTGATACCCAGTTTTCTGAGACTGCTAGAATATATGGTAGTTTATAAGTACATACTATATCATATTTTCATTTTACTTACCAAAGTATTATAGTAAATCTTTCTTAATACCTAAGTACATCATTTATTTTTTCTTATGAATTGCTTAGAGATATTTCTACAAACTGTTTTTTTTCTTTTTGCAATGAGATTTACTTATACGTTTATCCAGATGCAGAAGCATAATATAAATATATCTTCATAGAAAACACAGATGCTTTTTATGAAATTTAAGGTGGCATTACAGAAATATAAATGAAAATAATCAGTTTTCCCCCATATTATTTTTTAATTTAAATTTCAATATGTATTGGTTATCTCATTTTTAATTCATGTAATTCAAGCAAGCATTCTATTCACATTTTAATTCATATAAACCAATTAAAAATATGGCTTTTCTTTGTATTGCAAGGGAAATATTTTTCTTTTCATAGCTATTGATAAATGTGAAAATTACCAAATTTAAATCTACTAATTCCTTACTAGATGGCAAATAATAACAACAACAACAATTCCTTAAACTGTGTATTTTTAGAGAAAAAAAGAATGTTATGGTCATTATATTAAATATAAGCAAACCATATTTACTATTACTGTTTTAGGAGCTCTGGTAGCATAGTGCCTAAGGCACTTGACTGCTAACCAGAAGGCTAGCAGTTCAAACACACCAGCCACTCCTCGGAAGGAAGATGGGGCAATCTACTTCCGTAGTGATACTGCCTAGGAAACCCAAGGAGGGGTCGTTATGAGTCAGGGCCGACTCGACAGCACATAACAACAACAAGAACACATAGCTACTAATGGATAATGTCTCTATTGCTCGACTATATTCTGCAACTGCACTGTCTTATATGATGGGCATTACTCATAAAAGGATATTTAAATTTCAATTAAATTAGACAAAACTAAAAATTTAGTTCCTCAGTTGCATTTGCCATGTTTCAAGCTACATGTAACTAGTGGCTACTGCAATGAATAGCATAAATACAGAACATTTCCATTATTGCAGGAAGTGCACTGTTTTAAGATGTAATAATATTTTTGCTTAAAAAAGAAGAGGAAGGAAAAAAATCTGTATTCAGCCTCATCTCTGGCCTGCCGGCCAAGCCGGGAATGTCTGAAGGACTTCTAGGCTGTTCTTATTCAGGCCATCTCTCTCCAGACCGACCAGTCAGCAGTCCTGAGTAACAAAGGACAGCTGCTCCTCTACCCTGCTGGGGTAGTCATCTTTTGGCTCCTAGTTACACCAGCTTTGATAATGAAAATAGTTATTATAGTGGAGAGATGGAATCCATTTTTACCAAAGAAACCAACTCTTCTCCAATCCCACGGATCTTCCAGGGTCATTTGTTGTTAAGTGCCATCGAGTCGTTTCCGACTCACAGTGACCCCATGCACAGCAGAACGAAACACTGCCCGATCCCGCGCCAGCCCCACAATCCCTGCTATACTTGAGACCATCATCGCAGCCACTGTGTCAATTCATCTCGTTGAAGGCCTCCCCCTCTTTCGTCGACCCTCCACCCTACCAAGCATGACATCCTTCTCCA